AGTGGTAAGGGGTCATATGGAACTTCTATTTTTAGCTTTTCTTCTTATTTTTTTGTCTTTTTTGAGACAGGGTCTCCTTGTAGCCCCAGCCTGGAACTCACTATGTAAACCAGGCTGGCCTCAAACTCACAAAGATCTGCCTGCCTCTGACCCCCAAGTGCTGGGATTAACTTACTTTTTAAAATTTTATTTATTATTTTTATTTTATGTGTATGCATGTAACGCCTGCATGTAGCTAAGTGCACCTGTGTCGTGCAATGCCTGAGGAGGTCAGAAGAGGCTGTTGGATCCCCTGCACTCGTGTCTTGGACCGTTGTTAGTTGTCATATGGGTCCTGGGATTCAAACCCAGGTCTTCTGCTAGAACAACCAGTGTTGTTAACTGCTGAGCCATCTCTCCTGTAGCCCCAGCTGTCCTGGAACTCACTATGTAGACCAGGCTGGCCTTGAACTCATAAAGATCCACCTGCCTCTGCCTCCTGAGTGCTGGGATTAAAGGGGTGCACCACCATGCTCAGCCCTATTTTTAGCTTTTCAAGAAACCTCCACACAGATATCTATGGTGGCCGTATGGATTTACATTCCCTCCAACAGAGGTTAAGTGTTCCTTCTTCCCATCCTTACCAGCACTTGCTGCCATTTTTTTTCTTGATGGATCATTGTGTGGCAAGATGGAATCTCAGAGTAGCTTTTATTTGCATTTACCTGGTTGTCAAAGATGCTAAGACTTAAAAACATTTATTAGCCATTTATATTTCCTCTTTTGATGTAGCCTCAGCTGTCCTGGAACTCACTATGTAGACCAGGCTGGCCTTGAACTCTCAAGAGATCCGCCTGCCTCTGCCTCCCAAGTGCTGGGATTAAAGGCATGTGCCACCATGCCTGGCCTTGTTTTAAACTTAAAAAAAATTTATTATTTTTATTATATGTGTATGTGTGTATTCCCTGCACGTAGGTAAGTGCACCCATGTCGTGCAACGCCCTCAGAGGTCAGAAGAGGGTGTCGGATCCCTGGGACTGGAGTTATGGACAGTTGTTAGCTGCCATGTGGGTGCTGTGATTTGAAACCAGGTCTTCTGCAAGAACAGCCAGTGTTCTTAACCGCTGAGCCATATCTCCAGCCTCCCCCAACTTTTTTTTTTCGGTCTTTTTGAAACAGGGTCTCCCTGTAGCCCTAGCTACCCTGGAACTCACTACGGAGACCAGGCTGGCCTTGAACTCACAGAGATCTGCCTCCCAAGTGCTGGGACTAAAGGCGTGTGCCACCACGCCCGGGCTGCCCCACTTTTTTTTTTTTTTTAAAGTCCTTATCTATGCCTAAATGTGTTTTCCCAACTTTTCCTCTACCATTTTCAGATTCTCAGGTCTTAAAGTCTCTGATCCACTAAGAGGTTATTTTTTACACAAAGTGGAAGTTAAGGATTTATTTTCATTCTTCTACATGGAGATACTCAGTTTCCTCAGCAGCAGGTGTTAAAGAGGCTGTCTTCTCTCCAATGAACATCTCCAATGAACGAGTATCTTTGTCCAAAATCCGGTGGTTCTAGCTGTGTGGGTTTCAGTCTGGGTCTTCTATTTCACTGATCTATGTCTTTTTTGTACCAGTGCCGTTTTTATTGTCATGGCTCTGTAGTGTAACTTGAAATCAGGTGTGGTGATGCCTTTGGCAGTGTTTTTTGCTCAAGGTTGCTTTAGGTATCCAAGCTTTTTCGTGCTTACATTTTTTTTTTTTTTTTTGGTCTTTTTGAGACAGGGTCTCCCTGTAGTCCCACCTGGCCTGGAACTCACTATGCAGACCAGGCTGGCCTCGAACTCAGAGATCCACCTGCCTCTGCCTCCCGAGTGCTGGGATTAAAGGCTTGTGCTTACAAATTTTAAGATAGTTAGTATTTTGATTGGGACTGCACTGAACCTATAGATTGCTTTTGGTAAGATGGTCATTTTCACAATACTGATTCTTCCAACCCAAGAGCATGGGAGGTCCTTCCATCTAGAGTTTCTTCAATTTCTCTCTTCGGTGTTTTCAAGGTTTCATTATAGAGGTCATTTTTTGTTGATTGATTTTTTTGGTAAGATTTTTTGTTGTTGTTTTGAGACAATTTTTGTTTGCTTGCTTATGTGTTTGAGACCAGGGTCTCCCTGTAGTCTAGGCTGGCTTTGAACAAAGATCTGTCGCCTCTGCCTCCAAAGTGCTGGGATTAAAGGTGTGAACCACCACACCCAGCTTGGAGACAATTTTGATTTCCCTGATTTCTTCCTCAGTATGTTTCTTTTATAAATATTTATTGTTTTTATTTTATGTATATGAGAGTGATTGCCTGCATGTGTATAAGTGCACCAATGTCGTGCAATGCCTGCAGAGGTCAGAAGGCGGCACTGGATTCCCCTAGAACTAGAATTATGGATAGTTGTTAGGTGATATGTGTGTGCTGAGAACCAAACCTGGGTCCTCTGAAAGAACAGTCAGTGCTCTTAACCACTGACCCATCTCTCCAGCCTCAATGTTTCTTTTTTTTAATTTTATGCATTTGAGTGTTTTGCCTACATGTATGTAAGTGCAATATGTGCATGAAATGCCCATGGAGGCCAGAAGAAGGTGTCAGGTACCCTGGAACTGGAGTTATGGACAGTTGTTAGCCACCATGTGGATGCTGGGAACCAAACCCAGGTCTTTTGCAAGAATAGTCAGTATTCTTAGCCACTAAACCATCTCTCCAACCCCTGTTCAGTGTTTCTTATTGGTATATAGGAAGGTTTAATAGAGGATGACTTTGAACTTCTGATCTTCCTGCCTCCACCTCCTAAGTGCTTACAGGTATGGTCCACCACACCTACTTTATGCAGTGCTGGGGTTCAAAACCCAGGGCCTAGTATATGCTAGGCAAGCAACCTACCAACTAAGCTACATCCTCAGCCCCAGTTTGTGTGCTTTTTAATAAAGCAAATGATACCATGCCATGTCTGTCAATTCTCAGCTTCAGAACTGCAAGCTTTTTTCCTATCAAGATCTTGGTCATTCCTGGTGCGGTCAATTCCTAGATACTTTACAGTAGATTTCTGTTGCTGTTCAAAGAGGTGTTTTTAAAATACCCTCTATTTTCAGGTGCAGTGGCGCACACCTTTAGTCCTAGCACTTGGGAGGCAGAGGCAGGAGGATCTCTGTGAGTTCAAGGCCAGCCTGGTCTACATAGCGAGTTCCAGGACAGCTGGGGCTACAGGGAGACCCTGTCTCAAAAAGACCAAAAAAAAAGATAAGCATACCTAGGCATTGGGATAAACAGACTATACCTAGGCATTGGGATAAACAGACTAACAAGGGAAAAGGTTCAGATGTATACAAAAGAACTTCTTGCTAGTGTAACATTGTGTAAGTTACTGAGCAGGTGCAGAGGCGAGTGGGTTAGTGATGACTTGCTCCAGGCCCCACACCAGCCTTTCTTTTTCGTTATAGAATAGTACGTGCTCCAGTTACAGCAAGCAGAGATCCTCCTGTTCTTGACCTTCAGGGAATGTCCCTGACACCTTCCATCAGTTAGGACGTAGACTACAGGTATGGGTATATAACCTTATCAAAATGAGGAAGTTTCTTTCCAATCCTAGTTTCTAAGTAACAGAGAAGTCCCATGGATAAGCCGTGTTGTCCATCCATGTGGCCAATGATATGCATCCGTGGCCATGCCAAGACCCACAAGATTCTGACTACTACATGCTGGACTTAGCTGCTCCTTCATCGGAGACCCACATACTCACCCTCCTGATAACCCTGCATTTTCCTGTCTGGTTCTAATCTGGGATCAAGGCTGGCTTTTCAGAGTGAGAGCCATGCAGGGTCTTCTGATCTTCAAGCCAACTTGGCATTCCAGGAATCACACTCCTCAAAAGTTTGATAGAATTCTGCTTCAAAAACCACTTGGGCTCTGGGTTTGTTGTAAGGAAGGAAGGTCTAGAGATAGTGTTTCCATTTCTTTACTGGCTTATTCAAGTTCTTTCTTTTAACAGTTTTGACAACATTTTAAGCTCTTCTAGGAATCTGTCAGTTTCTTACAGTTTTTATGTCATTATATGATTGCTTACAGTGCTTGGATTATTATTTAATATCTTCACTGAAGGCCCTTTTCTCATCTCTGGGACTAACAACGTGCTTATCTGGCTAGGCTAGCATTTCAGCCAGCCCACATGGGGCCACTAGTGCTGCAGCTGGAGCAGCACATGCAATGAGGAAGCTTCTCTCAGGAAGTCTTCTTGAAGAGCCAGAGATGACTCAGCAGGGGAAGGAACTTGCTGCTAAGTCTGACAACCTGAGTTTAACCCCTAGATTCTACATGGTAGGAAGAGAGAAAACCAATCCCACAAGTTGTCCTTTGACCTCCACATACATGCCATGGCATGTGTACAGTCAAATACGGACAGAAAATAAGTGTAATAAATTTTTTAAAAGAAGGCCTCCTTGATGGCCACCAAGGCCCCCTTCGGTTTCCTGCCCCTCTTTTCTTAACCATAAAACCCATGAACTCAGGCCCCACTGCTGGCTCACACTCTACAGCAGTTTTATCAGTCTCCCTGACCTATAGGGAAGATGCCCAGCCATGGAAGTACTTCTTACAGTGGGATCTTGTGGCTCATAGAACCCCACGTCTCTCCTCTTGCCTAGTTCCTTAAGGCCCAGGGTAGCCTCAGGTCTCTCCTGACCACTGCCACCCAGTGGCTATGCTGAAACGCCCTCTGAGACCTCCTGGGCCAGACCAGTGTCATACTCTATCCAGCCAGCCCCATCCTGGGGCTCCTATGTCACCTGCATGTGCCACTGCTGCAGTGGATGAAGATGAGGCCTCAAAACTGGGGGTCACATTGAATGTGACGTTCAGGAAGTCCACTTCATGGCTATGTGGCTGAAATACCCACTTCAAATCATGCTCCCTGTATCCCCATCAGGCAACCTGACTCCGAGGGATCCAGCCCCAACAGGATCCCATCACCCCAAGTACCCGTCCTCCAGCCTACCTGAGTATGAAGAGCTACCAGAAGGGCATCAAGTTGAACCTCCAGTGTGCGGCTGCTCACACTCACAGCTGCCTCAAGGATCTGACCCAGGCTCTGCACAGGACAAGAAGATGGCTTTAGTACACCTCCTGAACCCCAGAAGGGAAATGAAGGCCTTGGGTAAGTAAGTCTGAGGAATGCACTGAGGAATTCCCCCTAGGGCTCAGATGAAGCTACACCTTCAGCTCCAGCACTGGGGACAATTAAGAAAGGTGATTCCTAGGTCAGAAGTCAGTATGGCAGGCAAAGGAGCAAGTCCCCAGGTTCCTATCCAGGGCCTAGGAGAGGGGAGGCCCCTCCCCTCACAACCTACCCCCAAGTCTTAAGTTAAGGCTGCCCCTGTAGGGTCTGGTCTGAGCGAGAGTTCATGGGTCTTCTGTGCCCTTCCTGCCTACAGTTACCTTGGATATCTGGAAGGTTTCCACATGCTTCTTGTAGAGGACAAGTACTCCAGGGAGGAGCCTGGGGAGCTGTTCCTCCAACTTCTCGTTGGGAAGCAGGTGACTCATGGGACCCAAAGCAGCTACCACTGCAAGCCGGAGCTGAGGAGAAAGCACAGGCCTTCTGTCTGCTCATGGCTCTGAACACAAGGACACCAGTAGGTCTTTAACAGGCAAGTCCAGTAGCTGGCAGTCAGAGTGTAACTGTGGAGAAACCATGGCAAGGGACCAGATGGCGACCAGGTCATGGTGTCATGGCCTGGGCCTTAGTCCCTGGTGGGTCACAGTTGTACCTTGGCATCTCTGCTCTGCAGCCAGTGGTGGAGAAGAATGTCGTAGGCACCAAAGATGTCAGTAGCAAAGGTGTCCTTCCTGACTGTGGGGTCTGGGGCTTGGTCCAGGTTGGCCAGGTACTCCAAGGTGCTCTCACTGAAGTGCTGCAGGGCTGTGATGGCCCCACAGTGAATAATTGCTGGCATAAGCCATACTGGCTCCCCAGTACTGCCCACAGAAATCCCAATGCAGGGACCCCCAAAACTATACCAGGGTAAACATAGTTCTCTCCAAACCCATGTCTTCTCTGAAACCTCAAAATATGGCCTTCTTTGGAAATGGTGGCTGCAGGTATAACTGTCAGGACAAGGTCATAGGAGGATGGCTGTAAACCTGACTGGATAGTACCCTTAAAGAGCAGAAAAGATGACAGAAGCAGAGAATGGAAGGTGAATGAACGCGGAGGTGCCAAGGAACCACAGCACTACAGGGAATGGAAAGAGCCAAGAATACTCCCTCTGAGCTCCTAAGAAGGTGCCAACCCATTAACACCTTGATCCAACTTCCCTAAAATGACCTTGACCTGTGTCTCCTAGAAACAGCACCAAGCCCCTCCCCAGTCTCATGCCACATACTAAGTACAAGGGTTGCTGAGTCCAGTGTGAGGGCAAGAGGAAACATGCCACCAGGGCCAGGTAGTGGGCATAGAATGTGAGGGCTATTACCCAGGCTTTCCCTGACTGGGACCTGGGGGCCTGAATGGGGGTGCAGCTGGGTGTGGCAGAGGCGCTCAGTGGCTGCAGGCAGTCTGGTGAGAGGTTCAGCTGTGTCCATGACTAAAGCCCAAGACACAGGTCTGGGCCTAGGCCATAAAAGAAGATAAGGCGGCAACAAGGGAGTCACTGAGGCATAAACCTCTGTGCTTCCACCTTCTGGAACCAGTCAGTGTATCAAAGGCTTGTATCCTGCCAAAGCTCCCTTGACACACAAATCCAAAGCCAACTGACTGATGGTGTACAAAGGTTATCCTGAAGCAAATGTAACCCTAAGATCAAAAAAAGAACCTGGAAACTGGCCCTTTTCCTTTGCAGGAGTGGCACAGCCTGTGGCAGGGAGCAGTGACAGGATGCACCCGCAGTTCCCCTGTATGGAGAGCCATCTGACAGTTCCGGATCTGTCTACAATGTGTTCAGGTTACCTCCTCTCTCCCCACTGCTGTGCTAGTAAGACCTACAGGGGCATGTGGCTACTTTGTTGCTGGTGTGTACCCTCCTATTGGTTTGGGACACCCCCCACCCAGGGCCTATGAGCACTTCCAAACCTTCCCAGCCCTGAAGGTGGTGCACTGGTGGCTTCAGCATTCCAGGAAGCAGGTCCCTACCACTGGCTGTGGGGATTAAGGCTCTGACTGCTCAAGCTTTTGACATCCATATTTTGAGAGGATGTGTTGACATGGATGCCTTCACTCATTCCTTTCTGGCCTGAGGATTCTTATCTTTCATGGAGGGAGATGGTTAGCAAACATCTGTGTATCTGCCCCATCCTCTCCCTTCTCCCTGATCCTTTGGTCTAAAAGGCTCTTGCTGGGTGGTACCCTTAGGACCCTGTCCAGCTGTCCATTCTCTCTGTCCACATCGCCCACTTCTATACGTGGCAATTTTAGTTTCCAGAACTTGTATTTGGCCGCCTTTTCATAGCACTTGCTCTTTTCTTTGGCTTGTTCCTTCTTTTATCTCTTCACTCTATTGTCTCATAGCCTACACTGGATCATTCCAAAATCTTTCCTGCTCTGAGCCTGCTCTGTGTTGAGCTGATACCAGTTCATGCTCATGCTGGGACCTCAGCCCCATATACAGTGGTTCCCCCGAGCCAGTGCCTAGGCACTGTGTTAGCTGACCACAGATGGTATCTAGAGGACATACATAACTCAGCCCACTGGTGAGGCAGTGCCTCAACCAAGGCCTCCCATCCAGTGCAGTAAGAGAAATAAACTCAACCCTTCACTGACAAAGGGACAAACCACAGTGACAAACTCTCAGGAGGCAGAACTTAAAAAAAAAAAAAAAAAAGATGAAAGAGCCAAGCGTGGTGGCAGCACCACGAGTCTTTAATCCCAGCACTTGGGAGGCAGATGCAGGTAGATCTCTGTGAGTTTAAAGCCAGCCTGGTCTACATAGTGAGTTCCAGACCAGCCAGGGCTACATAGTGAGAACCTTTCTCAATAAAAGAAAAAAAATTTTAAGTGATGAAAGAAAACTACCTTCCTGCCAGGGCCCATGGTAGAAGGCTCACTGGTCAGTCCCCATCCTTGAGGAATGGGCCTCAGCGAGATCAGTTCAGATGGTCTATGGCCCTGCCTCCCACAACTCTTGGCTACCGACAGTGAGGCCAGTAATGCCTGGAGACAGCTGGAGACTTATGCTCCCTCTGTTCCCCTCAGCCCCAAGGTTTCTAATTCTGATCTGAAGGGTACCGGCTAGACTGGTTCAGGTCTTTAGCAGCAGGAAGGTATTTCCAAATAGCAGGTCATTATAATACCAGAAGTGGAACCCAACATGTGTTAGTCTTTGATCTTTAACCAGTTTCATACATACTTAGGTTGGAAGAGCAGTCCTCCTGATGTTGATGTCCTTTTCCTGGGATGTAGCCACAAGCTGGGTCTTCTCTGTAAATAAGTGCCACAGCTCCCCCACAGCAAGGTGCCCTCTTTTCATACCTCCAGCCTGGTACTACACAGAACTGACCTCTCAAAAGCACTAATCCTTCTAGCACAGCTGTGCTTTCCCTAGAGTCAGATCCTTTTACATTGACATCTGCTTGGTTCTACAGGTATCTGTCCCCCATGTAGCCCCAGCAGCTTCAGTTTTGGGGACATCACTGACTACTCACCTCCACCACACAGGCTGTTGCCACATGGGCATCTTTCTTCTCAGTTCAAGCCACCTCTCAGTGCCATGCCCCTCAGCCACTCTGGGGAGGACTGGATGAATGCATGTCTAAGACCTAGTTCTCCGAAAAGTCCGGTTCACCCTCACAGTCAGCTGGCATGGGTGGGCTATGATCCAGTGTGTAGGCTTCCATTGGGCTGTGGGGAATTGCCAGGTAAGTGGACTGGTACTGTCAAAGCCCAGGGTGTGTTGGCTCCTCACTTGCATTCTGGTCACGTGTCATATGCTATGGTCATTCTGTCTGGAGCATCTTTAGACCATGGGGTGTTTGGGAGTTCACCTTCTTGGTTCTCCTTTCCAGGTATTTGCCACTGGAATGCAGGCTGGTGGTCTCACACACGGATGCTTTCTTTTCTTTCTTTCCTACCCCACAACTTTGCACTTGGCTGTATTCCCCATCAGTTTCCTTAACTTCCAATCTCTGTGTTTTCCATTTCTCTCTCCATGTTTCATCTTAGTTTTGACCTCTGAATGTACTTCTTCGAGGATGGTGATAAACTCTTGCTTCGTGACTTCATCTCCTGTTATATCCCTGGTAATATCAGTCATGGGTCTCTCTCTTGGGTATTTCCTCTTATCCAGACTGTCAGTGTCCCCAGGCTACAGTTTATTTTGCTGCCACTTTTCCCACTTGACTTCTCTGAGGTGGGATTCTGTACCCACCAAGCCAGGCTGGTTGAAACCCTGCCCATCTGGGACCTTTCTATCAGCTCCTCTATGGCTGTGCACTGGTTCCTGATCCCTGTAGTGTTGTCACCCTTGGCTGCATCTGGCCTCTAATACACCTCATACATGGTCCCCATGGATCCTGCTGGCCTGACCGAGGTTGCTCTACCCACAGGAACACTGTGGACTACTGTGTCCTCCAGTAGCGTACAATGCCCCATGTGAGCAGTATACCTGGCAGAAGGCACTCCAGCAGTATCCTTGCTGAGCCAGGAATGGTGACTCGAGCCAATAATCAGAGCACTTGGGAAACTTAGATAGGAGAACTGATTTCAAATTCAAAGACCCTGTCTCCAAAAACAAAACAGGGTTGGTAACATAGCTCAGTAGGTAGTGTTTGCCTGGCACGCACAAAGCTCTGGGTTTGATCCCCAGCACCAAATAAACTGGGCATGGTGGCACATGCCAATAATCCCAGAACTCACTGGAAGCAGAAGTTCAAGGACATCCTCAGGTACATAGCCCGCCTGGGTAACATGAGACGAAGCATGAGAAGTACCTTTGTAACAAGAATTATAAGGCATCTCTCACTGTAGGTCAGGCTCAATCCCATCAGCTATTTCTCAGGAGAGCCCCAAGGAAGCAACAGTCAGAGCTTGCTGTAGACACTAAATGCTCAGCACACACAGATTCCTTCCTCCATGTTGGAGACCCTCTACAGCCTCTACCTGGGTAAGACCCCCTCAACTTGCATTCAGTGCCTCTGGTTCTGGATGTGTGTTTACCCAAAGCCCACACTGTGCAAGCTCTGTCACAAATCCCCTATTCATCCCCAACTAGGTGAAGCAGGATTTCTACCACTGTAACCTGGGCCCTACCCTCAATCATAGGCAGAAGGGGCTGGGGAGAGGGGACCTCAAAGATGATGGCATAAGGAAGGCAGGGCAAGGAGGATGAGAGTGCAGTGACTAAGGAGAGATGGTGGGAGCTAAAGCATCTCCTGGGCTTTGCTGCTGTGAAAAAAGCAGGAGAAAAGCAGAAGATGCCAGCACTCTCTAACAGACCCCACTCAGGAGAGCTGAGCATGAATGAAGGATCCCGACTTGGGAGCACGAAGGCCCTGTCCTCTCGGGTACCTAGAAAGGCAGAGGTGCACCCTCCCCACCAAGTACCAGAACCACAGCCTTGCCGTCAGGGTTCTGGAGACCCAAGAGGTTCAAGGCCTCGGCTGTGAGGCTGCTGCTGTTGTCGGCAGGGGCTCAGGGTCTCAAGATCTCTGTGTCTGCAGAGGTGACCCTCAGTCCCACCTTCTAGCAAGAGGGATGGCCCTCTACCCCCAGTAGTTTCACTTACTATTAGGTACCATGTCTGCACCACACAGTGCCTGTGGATCCCCTGCCAGCATACAGAGGGCTGCAGACACAGGCCACAGGAGAATGATGGAGGGCAGAGACAATGGTCCCTCCCCACCATGGGTCTGAGATGCCAAGTGAATGGTCGCTCTGCCAGCTGGAGTTTGTAGCATAAAAGTGAAAGTCACGCTCTGAGGAAGCCTCTTCCTCCTCCCCAGGCCTAGTCACGCATCAAAAATCCACAGGAGGTGGAGGGCAGTACCCAGCAGAGAGAGGCAGTGAGAGCGTAGAGGCTGCACTTGCGAGTGCAGGTCCACCTACCCTGACCTCAGCAGTGATTCAGCCAACTGGGCCTCATCTTACTAACCCCAGAAGACAGCCCACACCCACCACAATGGCAATTTCTTGTACATATCCAGGAGGGACCCCAGTTCAAAAAGAAGATGGGCAATGCCCACTGTCTTACCACAGCAGAACACCACCCTCAGTGCATCCTGCTTGGCCATGCCCAGCATGGGTAGCATGGTACTCAGGACAGATGGCAGGAAGGGGACCATGCCAAATGCTGTAAGAGAGGGGCTGTCACTGGAGCCGCAGGCCCAACCCACTTCCCACCCACCTTCTCAGGACTTGGAATGGTACACAGAAGTGCTCTTCACGACTTGACACGTGAGACCAGAAACCCAGGTGGTCCTCAGAGGCCCTCTAATCTACTCAGGGACACTGGGGTACCTGGGCCAAGGGGGAACCTACCATTGGACAAAGAAAGGCTGGCAAGTGTGTGCAGCACGGAGGAATGAGGCAGAACCCCGGGCTGGAATTTGCTGAGCACCACCTCCATCACCTGGTTGATGAATCGCTTCCCCACGGCCACTAGTACACTGCTTGCTGCCCGCTGCCAGTCACAGTCCAGCTCCTGCACCCCAAAAGTCACCAGGTTGGCCTCTCAAGAAGCACAAACAAGATACTCTGCCCTTGGTGGTGGCTGGACAAGGAAAAGCTGCCTTGTTCCAATGTCCCTAGTGAATGAGGGTCAGAGACCACATGGTATGGCCTCTGGCCCATCCTTCCCTAGGGGCCCTGGGAGAAGCCACAAAGTATGGTAGGAGAAACTGATGATTCTTGGAGATGAATGAGGCTGCTGGTCCTTGAGAGCCGGTCCAACACCCTAAATACTGCATGTGGCCCTTGGCCAGAGCGCCAAACATGAGTCTCCTACCCTCAACCTAAGAGGTTAACTGCCCCGTTTTCTGTTTTAGCTTTTGTTCCTGCCCTCAGGGAGGTACACAGGGTTAAGGGGTCTCTTCCAGTCAAACACCAGCCCTGTGGCGCTCTCCTCCTTAGCCAACATGGTCAGAAGCCCTTACCTTGGTCCTAGTCATCTCACTGGAGGCCAGGAGGATGACTATGCTAGCCGTGTCCTTGTCCAGCTCGTGGATATGACTGCTCAGAACTGTCTCCATAGCCCTCAGGACCTTCACACGATATGGATGAGCCAACTGAGGAGAGAAATCCCCAGAGAAAGTCCTGGGAGGTGAGATGAACAGCCAGGTACTCTATGTGCAATTTGTCTCTGTAGAGACTACACTATGCAAGGGTATATCCTCAAACAGGGCAAACACCTGCCTCTCCAGGCCCTCAGAGCCTGGGTAAGCACGCATATGTCTTTGGAAGGGCCAAGGACAGTCTTCTGCCCTCCAAATGTAACCAGTAGGGTCTCTTGGAGAGAAGCTTAAGGAACCTCTTCCTCCCATGCCTGTCCTCAGGCCCAAGGACAAGATACCTTCCTTAAGTCACCTTTCTCTGTAACCAGGAAGGACTTACTTACCATAGACCCTTCTAAGGCTAGAAATGTGCTCAGAGTCAAAGCACCAGCCACCAATCCCCACATCTCCTTTGGCTATGATCCATCTTTCTGCTTCCAGGGCCTCTGCTGACCCAGCTTCCTGGACTAACCCCATTAACACAGTCCTCCCTTACATCTTTATCTTGGCAGCACTCAAGTCACCCTGTACTCAACTGAAGACCTAAGGATAGAGCTGGCCACTGTGCTGGAAGGCTGGGGATAACAAGGCCCAACGGCAGAGTGGCCACTGCCTAGGGACTATATAAAGGGCTATGGAGGAGCTGCCAGTGAAGGTTTCCAGCTGCCAAATAAACATCCCACTGCAAGGCACCCACTGAAAATAGGTGCCCTAGAATAGGTACCAGCAGGGGCAGGACCAGGACAGGCCAATGCCCCACAGAACTGGGCCACCCCTTTGCTGATGTCACCAGCTGTCTCACCCATAGCCATGCTGTCCACCACAGCAGGGGAGAGGCAGGTGTACTCCTCACAGGTGGACTTATCAGCTGGGCCCCATAGGAGACAACACAGCTGATGGAAGAAAGCCACACAAAACATCAAAGTCTCCTAGCCCAGGAGGAGACATGCTTGCTGGTGCCAGTGTCAGTTACACAAGTTGCAAAAGATCGCCCTTGTCTCTGACCCCGGGGTGGATGGGATGTTCATTCCTGGAAGCAGTCAGTATAGATCACAAACAGCTCCAGAAACAAGGAACCTGCCAGTCTGAGGAAAGAACTTTGGCCTAGGTTTTGTTTCTTCTGGGCAAGATGTTTGATCCTTACATGTTGGTGCCCCTGGGATGGTGGTTCTCAGTAGGAGAAGGAGATTACCAACTACCATCTCAGCTTGCTGGGTTCACACTTCTCTTTCCAGAACACAGAGTTCCTGCAGAAGTCCCTTCCCATCATGGGGAGAGGAGAGGTTGATGCTTTCTTTGGAGAATAAAGGAATCTGGGAGAAAAGTGAACGGATTTTTTTTTTTTTTTAATCTTTTTGAGTCAGGGTCTCGCTGTAGCCCCAGCTGGCCTGAAACTCACTATGTAGACCAGGCTGGCCTTGAACTCAAAGAGATTTGCTTGCCTCTGCTGGAATTAAAGGCATGCACCACCATGCCAGGTGGGTATGCTTTCATTTAATCCAAATTACTGAGCTGAGAATGCAGTTTTGATGAGGCAACATGAACATCTCTTCCTGCTCCATCTGGATCAAATACTTCCAGCGTCCTCCAGGCTCTTGTTCCTAGAGACACATCTTGAAGGGCACTGCATGGGCTCTCTGGGCTTCTAATTCTCCTTACCTACATGAAGATGCTTTAGGGGGAAGGTACCTTCCCAGAAAAACGAGGCAGAAGGAATTCCTTAGCCTGGGTTCTCAAGGCCTTCTAGCCATCAGCACAACCACTGGCCTCACTGCTCTGGCAACTTACTGCTCAGTGCAGTACAACAGAAAAGCTCCAGGGGCTGGTGAGACAGTAGGTTCTGTGGCTTCAGGACTTGAGACCTAGGGAAAGATGTACTCTCTGTGGAAAATGTCAAAGGAAATCTACATTTTTTAAAAAATCAGGTATGAGCTGGGCGTAGTGGCACACGCCTTTAATCCCAGCACTCAGGAGGCAGAGGCAGGCGGATCTCTGTGAGTTCAAGGCCAGCCTGGTCTACATAATGAGTTCCAGGACAGCTGGGGCTACAGGGAGACGGTCTCAAAAAGACCAAAAAAAAAAAAAAATTCAGATATGGAGAGATGGCTCAGCAGTTACGAGTACTTGCTGATCTTGCAGAGAACCTGGGTTTGGCTCCTAGTACCCGCATGGTGGCTCATAACCTCCCATAACTCCAGCTCCAAGGGGATCCCAATGTCCTCTTCTGGCTTCTATGGGCACTGCACATACATGCTGAACATACCGACAAGCAGGTGCACACACATATATATAAATAAAAATAGGTAAAAATTTTGCCAGGTGTGGTGGTACATGCCTTTAATCCCAGCACTCAGGAGGCAGAGGCAGACAGATCTCTGTGAGTTCAAGGCCAGCCTGGTCTACATAGCAAGTTCTAGGCCAATTAGGGTTCAGGGAGACCCTGTCTCAAAAAGACCAAAAAAAAGTAAAAATTTAAAAAACTTTAAAAATCAGATATGCAGGGTTGGAGAGATGGCTCAGCAGTTAAGAGAACTGGCTGCTCTTGCAGAAGACCTGGGTTCAAATCCCAGCACCAACATGGCAGGTAACAACCAACCATAACTCCAGTTCCAGGGGATCCGAAGCCCTCTTCTGACCTTCGAGGGCATTGCATGACATGGGTACACTTATATACACTCATACACACAAAATGAAAATAATAAATTGAGCCAGGTGTGGTGGCATAAGCCTTTAATCCCAGCACTTGGGAGGCAAAGGCAGGTGGAATGGATCTCTGTGAGTTCGAGGCCAGCCTGGTCTACACAGTGAGTTCCAGGACAGCTGGGACTACAGGGAAACCGTGCCTCAAAAAGACCAAAAAGTAAATAAATGAATAAAAATAAAATTAAACCAGATATGCATGGCTTTTGCTCTAGGGCTTGGTTTGCTAGGTCCTTCAGTGGGGCTCTTCAAGGGCCTCTTATGGAAAGGCAGGTCACCATGAGCTCTGAATACAGGACAGGTCTCTCATCTGGAAAAAATGAAAATGCCCTGGCCAGGTCGTTCCCAACTGCTCATCTCTAAAGAATATGTTTTATTTCCATGTTATTATATTACTTTTGAGAGGGCCACTGGCAGAGCCATGAAGTAGGGATGGTGTGAAGACATGGCTCTCCCAGCGGAGGGAAGGTTCTAATCCTGGGAGAAACTGAAGTGGGATGCTGACCACAGGTGCCTCACTGACCAGAAGTACTGACAGCTGTGGGGTAGGCACAGGTTGGTACACCAATCAGACATATTGGTATACCAACTCAATGGTTCTCACATGTTAGTGGGTCTCCAAGGAGTGGCCTCTATCCTTTCCCCATGTGACTCAAAGCTCAAAGGGTGGTCAGATCAGTCCCCTCCAAACTAGGCTACCAGGACACTCAAAGCCAAGAACTCAAAAGGCTGGTCACTTAAAACATACTGCAATTTTAATCCCTTGTAGAAAGTGGTACTGTTAAATAAATATTAAGTTTTTGTCTGATTTCATAGCACAAAAGTCCTAAAATCCTTAGATTTGCCAACATGCCCTTCTATAACCTGGGGAGATACTGCCTGCTGGGAGTTGCTATGCAGTGTCAAAATACTGATCACAAGAGATCAAGGCAGGACTAGATGATGGGGACTTCTGGCCTCCCTCAACCTCTGGGTAGGGAAGAGAAGTTGAAGGTTAAGTTGATAATCAATAACCAATGACATACCAATCATGCCCACAAAATGAAGCTTCCATAAAACTACAAAAGGATAGGGTCTGAAGAGCTTCCAGGTAACAAACTATGTGAGGGTGTCAGAAGGCGGCATATCCAGGGAGTGCACAGGAGCCCGCACTTCCCCACACGCCTCGCCTCTGCATCTCCCCATCTGCTGTTATCCATTATCATTTGTCTCATCCTTGATGACAAATAGGCAAATGTGAGTAAACAGTTTAGTGAATTTCATGAATAAAAAGAGAAGGTTGTGGGAACCCTAATTTGTAGCTGATAGATCCAATACACAGGCCACAACCAGGGATTTGCTACTGCCATTAGAAGTGAGGTTCTTTTGGGGATAAGCCTTAACCTGGATAATCTAATGTGACCTCAAAGTAGACTATGTTAAGAATGAAATTGGAGCCGGGCATGGTGACACACACCTTTAATCCCAGCACTTGGGAGGCAGAGGCAGGCGGATCTTTGTGAGTTCAAGGCCAGCCTGGTCTACATAGTGAGTTCCAGGACAGCTGGGGCTACAGGGAGACCCTGTCTCAAAAAGACAAAAAAAGAAAAAAAAGAAGAATGAAATTGGAGGAGCTGGAGAGATGACCCAGTGGTTAAGAACACTAGTTGTTCTTGAAGAAGACCCAGGTTCGAATCCCAGCACCCACATGGCAGCTAACAATTACTCATAACTCCAGTCCCAGGGGATCCAACAGCCTCTTCTGACCTCTGAGGGCACTGCATGACACAGGTGGTACATTTACCTACATGCAAGCAATATACACATACACATAAAATAAAAATAATAATTTTTAAAAAAAAGAGGGGCTGGAGAGATGGCTCAGCAGTTAAGAACACTGGCTGTTCTTGCAGAAGACCTGGGTTCGAATCCCTGCACTCACATGGCAGCTAACAACTGTCCATAACTCCAGTTCCAGGGGATCCGATGGCCTCTTCCGTCCTCTGTGGGCACTGCACGACACGGGTGCACTTACCTATATGCAGGCAATACACGCAT